ACAAGGGAGAAACAATCTTCCCACATCTACCCAGTCAACTCCTCCTAAGAACCTTGTATATTTCAATAAGGTCACCTTTCTTCTTTTACATTCTAACAAGGACAGACCCAATCTACTCAACCTCTCCTCATAAGGCAATCCTCCATACCTTGAATCAGCTCAGTGGATCTTCTTTGGACTGCCTCCAATGCCAAAATAATCTTCCTCAGATAAGAGGCCCAAAACTGTTCAAACTATTCCAACTATTGTCTGACTATAGTCTTTTATCACTTTAGTGAAACCTCCCTATTTTTATACTCCATTCCTTTTGAAGTAAAGGCCAACATTCACTCCACAACTCAAGAGACTGGAAGGAAGAAGGGAATGGGTGATCACCAGGCAAAAGAGAATCAGGAGGGTCGTGCAGGAGACCCCTGGGATCCTGCTCACAAATTGGTTTTCTATTTTGGAAGCTTATGAGGGTGTTTGTTCCTCAAGGGAGTTCAGACGGAGCCAATCTTCTGGCACTACAATTGGCTTGACAGTACAGGTGAGGAAGAAGGAATAATGATAGGGGATTCATTAGCTCGCAGGCATTTCTGCAGTTGCATATGTGACTCCAGGATAGTGTGTTGCCTCCCTAGTGCTGGGGTCAGGGATCTTGCTAAATAGTTGCAGGGCATTGTGAAGGTGGCGGGGCGGGGCGGGGGGGGGGGCGGTGACAAGACAGAGTGGTACACATTGGTACCAACGATATAAGTAGAATGAGGGATGATGTTTTACATCAAGAATTTAGGGAGTTAGGCAGAAGACTATAGAGCAGGACCTCAAAAGTTGTAATCTTTAGATTACTTCTGGTGCCATGTGCTAGTGAGCACAGAAATAGGAAAACAGGACAGATGAATGCGTGGCTCAAGAGTTGGTACAGGAGGGAAGGTTTTAAATGCCTGGCCACTAGGACCATTTCTGGAGAAGGTGGAACCTGTACAAGTGGGACAGTCCACACTTGAACCAGAGGGTGACTGACATCCTTGTGGGTACGTTTGCCAGTGTTGGGAGGAATATAAACTAGTTTGGCAGCAGGAGGGGACACAGAATACAAGCACAATGAGCACGTTGAATACTTCAGTAAAGGAACCAAGGCAGAGGTAGTTCAGCCATGTTGAGTGAGAAGGGAATAAGGCAAAGCTGGATGGACTCTAACGTTAGGAGTTTTGTAGTAAGACAGATGAGTTAAGGGTGCAGATTAACACACGGAATTGAGATATTGTTGCCATCGTAGAATCGTGGTTGAAGGAGCGTTGGGACTGGCAACACTTCATTCCAGGGTATAGGATCTTCAAGCAAAATGGGGAGGGTGTAAAGCAGGAGGTGGTGTTACGTTATAACTTAAGGAGTCAGTTACTGCAGTAAGGAAAGTCAAATTCATGGAAGGGGTCTTTAAATGAGGCTTTGTGGGTAGTGCTTAGGGATAGAAAGGGGGTAAGCCACATCCTGGGAGTGTGGCATAGACCCCCAAACAGTCAGTGGGCAAGACAGCAGCAGATATGTAGAGAAATCACTGTGATGTTTAAAATAATAATAGGGTAATTATATTAGGGATTTCAAATTCCCCATTAATTGAAATAATCATAGCTTGAAGAATGTAGACAAAGTAGATTTCTTGAAATGTATTCAGAAAGGCCTTTTATATCAACATGTAAAAGGTCCAAAAAGAGACAACAGAGTGCTGGACCTAATTCTGGGGAACAAAGCCAGACAGGTGTTTGAGGTGGCAGTGTGGGAGCATTTTAGTGATAGTGACTACAAGGCAGTATGATTGAAATTTGGTATGGAAAAGGAAAAAGATAGTCTGCAAAAAAAAAATTTGATTTGGGGAAGGCAGTTTTTATTAAAATAAGATCTGGCCAAATTAGACTGGGAATAACTACTTGTGAGAAAATCTACAACAGAACAGTAGGGGGCGTTCAAAAGGGAAACATGGAGAGTACAGACCCAACATGTTCCCTTTAGGGGGAAATGTAGGAGCAACAAGTCCAGAAAACCCTGGATGTCTATTCATAATATTCAGTACTGGATAAGGAGGAAAAGACAGTCTTTCAGCAGGTTCAAAGGGAACAAGTCAATGGAGGCCCTAGTGGAGAATACAAAGTGCAGAGGTGATCTTAAAGCAATCAGGAGAGCAAAGAGGGGGCATGAAAAAACACTGGCATGTAAAATTAGAAAGCATCTGATTGTCCAGTTGATCCACTTACAGACTAAGATAACCAGGGAAAGAACAGGACCCATTCGGAATCAAGGAGACAATCTATGTGTGGAGCTGGTGGACATTAGTAGTGGAGTGTTAAATCAGCATGTCTGTCTTCACTTTGGAAATGAAGATGTAGGTACAGAATTTGGGAAGTGAGACTGTGAAGGTCTTGAGCAGTTTGACATAGGGACTGAGGAGCTTTTGGTGGTCTTAAAAGTGGACAATTTCCCATGTCTGGATGAGTCGTATTCCAGGTTGGTGTGGGAGATGGGATAGATGAAATTGCAGGGGCTCTGACACAGATTTTTAATTCCCCTCTGGCCACAGGAGAGGTGCAAGAGGACTGGAGAACGGCTAACATGGTTCCATTTTTCAAGAAGGATGGTAAAGATAAACCAGGGAATTATAGGCCAGTGGGTCTTACGGCAGTGGTAGGGAAACTGTTGGAGAAAATTCTGAAGGAGACAATTAATCTCCATTTGGAAAGGTAAGGTTTGATCAATGATTGGCAGCATGGCTTTGTTGGAGGGAGATTATGTTGAACAAATTTGGTTGAAGTTTTTTTAAGGAGGTGACCACATGTGTAGATGAGTGTATTGCAGTTGATATAGTTTATACGGATTTCAGCAAAGCCTTTGATAAGGTCCTACATGGGGGACTAAAAAAGAAGGTAAAAGCACATGGGATCCAGGGTAACTTGGCAAGTTGGATCTAAAACTGGCTCAGTGGTAGGAGACAGAGTGTGGTGGTGGAAGGCTGTGTGACTGGAGACCAGTGTCCAGTGGCTTACCACAGGGATCAGTGCTGGCCCCCTTATTGTTCGTGATATATTTAAATGATAGAGAAGAAAATGTAGGGGTGATGGTAAGTTTGTAGATGATATGAAGATTGGATGGGTAATTGAGAGTAAGGAAGAAGTTCTTAGGTTACAGGACGATACAGACAGATTGATCAGATGGGCAGGTCAGTGGCAGATGGAGTTTAACATCGATAAGTGCGAGGTGATGTACTTTGGAAGAAGTAACAAGAGAAGGGAGTAGTCAATGAATGGCAGAACAATAGGAAGCTCACAGTCACAGAGGGATCTTGGGATGCCTGTGCACAAATCCCTGAAGGTAAGAGGAGTGGCTAATACGGTGGTTAAGACATCATACGGGATACTTTCCTTTATCAGATGTGGCCTAGATCATAAGAGGAAGGAAGTTATGTTGGAGCTGAACAAATCTTTGGTTCAGTTCCAGTCACTGCACTTTTGGAAGGACACAATTGCTTTGGAAGGGGTGCGGAGGAGATTCACCAGGATGTTGCTGGGATGGAGCAGTTTAACTACGAAGAGAAGCTGGATAGGCTCAGGATCATTTCTTTAGGGCAGAGAAGGCTGAGACAGGACCTCACTGAGGTGCCTAAAATTACGAGGGGACATGGACAGGGTGGAAAGGAAGTAGCTGTTTCATTCAGTTGGAGGGTCATTAACAAGGGGACATCATTTTAAGGTTTAGAGGGGATTTAAGGAAAATCTTTTTCACTCAAGAGTGGTGGGAATCTGGAATACACTGCCTTGGAGGCAGAGAACCTCACAATCTTTAAGAAGTACTTGGCTGAGCACTTGAAATGTCAACATTCAAGACAATGGGCCAAGTGCTGGAAAGTGAGACAAATGCAGATTTGGAGCAGTTTACTGTCAGTGCAGACTCACTGGGATGAAGACCCTCTTCTGTACTGTATCATTCTATTTGCATTTTCTATTACCTGCTGAACTTGGATGCTAGCTCTTTGTGTCTTGTGGACAAGTTTGCATTTGTTGGCTACTTCTGAGATTACTGAGCATCCTGTAGGACTGCATTAAGGTCATAAGGATGAGGTTGCTGGCTTTGACAACCTGGCTATTTAGTCCTTGTGCCTTACTATGTCCTCTGTCCGACCTTCTGTAGATAACTAACATCTCCTTCATTCTGAAGAAGGGTCACTGGCCTCAAAACGTTAACTCTGCCTTCTCTCCATAAATGCTGCCAGACCTGCTGAGATTCTCCAGCAATTTCTGTTTTCATTTCAGATTTCCAGCATCAGCAGTTTTTTGGTTTATCTCCACTTCCACCTCTTGCACCAAGGCCACCAGGTACAGTATTTGAGAACCTTGGAGCTTACTGTCTCCCTTCTTTTATCATGACTTACTCTTTATCAGACAATCTTCATCAATCACTTGAGGAATGAGCTACTCAGCAACACTCCTTAGACACCAGCTTCCAACACACAGGCACTAAAATCTAGAAAGACAAGGGCAACATATATGTGGGAACACTACCAACTGCAAGCCCCCCTCCAAGCCACTCACCACCCTGCCTTGGAAATTTATCACTGTTCCTTCAGTGTCGCTGGATCCAAATCCTGTACCACCCTCCCTAACAGTGTTGTACACCAAATGGACTGTAATATTTCAAAAGAAGGCAGCTTAACACCCTCTTCTCAAGGACAACTAGGGATGGTCGATGAACGCTAACCCAATGTGAATCAGTACAAAAAAAAGCACAGTCTGCCTTTAAACAGTTCAGATTAACTTTAAATGGTGCTAACCATAGCCTGCAGGGCCATAACACCACTCAACAACACGTTTCACACTGGACTGTGTTACATGACATTTCTGTGCCGTGTGCGATACAAGCAACAGAAATTGGTTCATTGCGCTTTGCGATACCCCCATACATTTCCTATGTGAAAACACTCAAAGAGAATCCTGCTTTATAACCATGCCAATGAAAGTAACAGAATCTACTGCATGCAGGAGATGCATTTTTTATTCAGAATTCCACGTTATCAGAAATGTTATAGGGCAGCAACATCTCAGAATTGTGAACCAAAACACAAGATTCTCTGGCCATGGTTGAAATGCACATTTAACAACAGAATCTTGGAAGCATATGTATTCTAAGTTACATTATTGTGGTGTCATGCAGTGAACAGCAATTAACTTCCAGATTATAGGTACTATGCAAGAATTTATAAATTACTATTCTGCCCATTTTAGTTCATCGCAAGACACAAGGAATCGAAAATTCTTTGGAACTGTTGTCAGCATAAGGGTTAATCAGCATTTGGAAACGAGTAATTCTCGACAGAAAGTTTTCAGGACAGCATTCATGACTTTTGTTTTTGGTTGATAATCAACTACTAATCTTGCTGAGCAATCCAGTAAAATGTTTATAACAAAATGATCATTTATTGGCAGAATCTATTCAGAGAGCTCCATGTAACATGGTTGAGTTTGCATAGTCGAGTTCCCTTGCTGACATTAATCACTGAAAGCTTAACTAAAAAAGGTGCCTTTAAATTTTGAATATTAAAAGATCTTCCTGTTGTAGGAACAAACTGCAAAAGGTGAAGTAGGTAATTAAGATGAGGTTTTGTTCCTACAGTTGTGACAATACAGTGACCACCATAACATTAAATTACCAAAATCTAATGAGAATGTTTACTGAATTATCATTACTAGTTATACTGCAGTTCTACTGCAGTCTTCAATATTTTCTATATTTCCATACTGGAAAAAAATCCTCACCTGAAAATTGTACATACACAGAATTTCCCACATCATGTACTTAATACTTAACAAATTTTGCACTATTTTTCAAAATGAATTTTAAATTGTTGCCTTCCAGGAAGTGCACTTCAAAAGTTCTGGAAACTATGATAAATAAACTGCATTAAAACAAACTGTACAATTCTTCTTGGTATAAAAACACAGGACAGATGTTTCATATCTTTGTGAAAAATGTCATTAAGTGGAACTGTTGTGAATACAAAAGTATGCAATACAATGTTTTTCAAAAGAAACTAATCATCAAATTTGATCTTTTTCCCCTGGAATGCAATGATCTGGGACTGTTCTTTCCGCCTTCTGCTTGCTTCCCAAGATGGATGGAGTGGTTGCTGTGGCTTTGGAATGACAACATCAGACCTCCCACGTGATCTCCCACGAAAGGGCAAGCTTTTGTTTTGGGACTTCCTTTGTGTAACATCTGTGCAAGTGAAAAGCCACAAGAAGTATGAAACTTTGCAACCAGAACTCATTTACGATACAACGTAATGTATACCACAAAAGAGATCCTGCGTCAACATGCCATCCCTGCCCCATACGTTTATATACTTTAAACGCATAAACATTTATGTTTTAATACTAATACATATATTAGATTCCATTTCATTTTTAAGGAAAAGATGATACTCTACACAGCATTTAAATTAAAAATAACATAATTTCATGGCACTCAGAATGCAAGAAATCCTAAATTTGACAGCAGTAATAAAAATGGAGAATATTTCAGAGATAACAACTTGAATGGGACATTCTTAAATGTGAAAAGTTATGCTTGAAGACTTTCTTGGCTGTACTTGCCCTATTTTTAAACTCTGGATTAGCAACTAGACCAAACAGATTGAGTTAGATCTGGCAAACAAAACAACTTTTGAAGGTTTTGCATGGATTGAGCTGGGAAAGTTTAGCCTAGGTCCTAATGATCATGATTCCATAATTGATCAGCAGGGCTACAAAGATTGAGATACTTAAAAAATGTACATTTGTACAATAGGAAGGCTTTCTCATGAAAACACATATTTGAAGCAAAGTGGAAAAAAATCCTTATTCTGCACTTGCCCTGAAAGAATTAATAAATAAAATGCAAACATGTTTACTTTTCTATTACTAACATTGACACTAAAAAAATGTTTTTTTAAACAAAACATAATTTTAGATTTTCTAGTGATAGCTAACATTGAAATGTTTGGTCTCATATGCCCTACATACCATCTTGCCCTGATCATCGGAATATTTTGAAGGAACAAAACTACTCAGGCATCAGTCATCGCTGGTGGATAGCATTAAGTCTTTTGCTCATTTACCCTGAAGGGAATGGAAAGTTTTCAGTTTTCACGTTTTAGAAATCTTTGATTAATCACCTCTGTTCTGAAAATTGAACTTATTGGAAAGCAGTCCTTGACATGATCTGATCTGTCTGTTAGAAGAGGCAGAAACATTGGGCTAATTGAATTAGCTTATTCTTTTGTAAACATGGTTGCGGATGCTCAGTTATTTGTAATTGAAATCAATATATATTTTGCGTCTAATGCTATTAACAGACATGGAGATAACCAATTAAGTCAAAATCATCACAGAAAAGCCAATTTAAAAAAGTATCCATACTGACCTGTTTGCTTTTTCTTGACATTTCCTTGGAAGTTGCTGAAAAATATGGAAAGAAAGAGGTTTGAAACAGTTTATTTTGCCTTTTTTAAAAAATAAGAATTTAATTCAAAAACAAATTTGAAACTGTAATTAAAACTGGTTCTTACCTCTTCGGTTTTGAAATCTTTGCATCAGACAAGTTATTACAAAACAAAGAACCAAATGTTGTTTTTGGGCTGTTGTTCTGCTTTCCATCACAACCCAAGGGATCAATCATCCCTTTCTTCACAAAACTTGGCATGATTTCTTCATCTTCTTTCACAGCATTGGCTTCCAAAGTTGGATTAAGTTCTTGCTTCTTTTTGTTTATTCTTTTCATCTTTCCAATAAAGAAATCATCATCCCCACTGTCATCACTAGATGTCTGATTGTAAAACCTCTCCTCTGTGCTGTCGTCAAAATACTTCTCATCTTCACTGGATGCATCCACATCACTGGGTACATCCAGATCACTGTCATCTACTTCAACAGCTTTTGTATTCTCTGACTTAATGGAGGTTTTTATTTTGCCTTGTGTTTTTGATAGGGTTAACTTACTGTCTTCAATATCTTGATCAGTCAATGTTATTTCTGCAGCTTGAGTTTCAGAGGTTGTGTCTTTATGCAGAGCTTCAGTGTCTGTTGTTTTAACAGTTGCCCTCACTGGTTTGGAAACTACGTTCTTGATTCTCTCACCAGCATTACTATCCTCTTTTATCTCATTCGTTTCATCAAGTTTAGCTTCTTCTGGACTTGCCTGTTTCAAAGGCTCTGTTTGCAAATTAGGCAGACTGCTCAACTTCTGTCTTTTCATTTTTTGTCTTGTTTCTTTGAATGAAGTTACGGCAGCTGGGGAAAAAAACAAGTGAAAACCTTTGCTGAAACATTTACTTCACAAAACCAGGTTTAATCTTATAATCACATTTCCCTCCTCTAGAAAATTAACAACAGAACTGTTAATCTCCAACTTTGATTTTTGTAAGTGTTAGTTATAGACAGAAATCCATTAGTAAGAAGGTACACTTAAAAAGAATATTTGATCGTGTGGTCTACAGTTGGATAAGGGGTTGGCTAGATCAGTGTGACATCAACTGTGGGAGTTTAATTCCTGTACTGGATGACCCGTACCATGAACCATGCCTCTTGCCTGAGCTGTGGTGGCCCTCAAGTTAAACTCATCACCAACCATCACTCTGTAATGAGAGAGCAGTCCTGGTCCTCTGGGACTATGGCAACTTTTACCTTTTTAAAACTGAACACTACATGTTGTTCCCAAATGGCAGTTTCTATTTAGGTGTTAGGAAGAAGAGAAATGCATTTAAAATAGAATTGTCTCAAACTATCATCTTAAAACATTTTGCATTTCATAACATTCATTTTTAAAAAAATTCAGCCCTTAAATTATTGCAAAAAATATTGCTTTATACATCATATTATTTTATACAAGTTATCCATTGGTTTATGTGCATTGGAATATGCCACTTAAAAGTTAGATGAACAAGTAGCGTCATTCTTGGTTCTGACCTTTGTCATTATTAATTTGACCACTGTATTGGATAATAAAGCAGACTTACATACGTTTAAAATGATGATACATGCATTCATTAATTTGAAATGAAAACGGGTAAAATAAAGGTTCTTTCCTGGAATGATTTTACAGTAGAGATAATTTTTTTCATGTGATTATTTATTGAGAAGGATGAACACCTTCATTTGCAAAACTTTGAAGATATTCCCAAGAGTTTACCTTTCTTAATGTACCTTTTGAGAATTCATCAATATACAAGCTATCAAGTAGTACATATTAAACATCATATGCTCATGGACATTCAGTTGGGTTACACCAGAACTATTCAGTTCCTGACCTCATTACAGCCTTGGTCCAAACATGGACGAGAGGGGAAGTTAGGGTAAGTGCCTTTGAAATCAATGAAGAAGGTCAATCAATCTCAGCAGATCTGGCAATATCCATGGAGAGCAAACAGAGTTAACTTTTCGTGTCTAGTGACCACGCTGCAGAACTGCTGAATTTCACCAGAAATTTCTGTTTTTGTTTCAGATTTCCAGCATTTGTAATTCTTTGTTTTATTGAAGTATTTGAGAGTGTGGTATCAGGGAGTCCAAGCTAAACTGAAGCCAATGAAAATCAGGATTAAAACTCGTTGCTGGTTGAAGTTATACCTATTGAGGTGGTGGTGGTTAGTGGTGATGTCACTGGATTACTAATCCAGAACCATGGGTTAATGGGCTGGGGACACAGGCTCAAATCCCACCAAGGCAGATGGTAAAATAAAATTCTGAAATAGAAAAAAAAAGTGTGCTACTAGATTGTCATAAAAACACATCTGGCTCACTGTTGTCCTTTAGTGAAGGAAATATACCATCCTTAAGTGGTCTAACCTACATATTGACTTTTAACTGTCCCCAGGCAATTAGGGATGAGCAATAAATGCTGTTTTACATCTTCATGTCATGAACAAATAAATAAAAACCTCCAAGCCTATTAGTGACAAATACACCAAGGATCAAATGCTTGGTAGAGACTGTTTATTGTTTACCATACAGCTTACATTGGTGCTTTTGTGGCACATTGGTAGCATCCCTATCTCTGGGTCAGGAGGCCTGGATTCTAGTCCCACCAGCTCCAGTTTGATTAAAAAAGATATACATCTCCAATGTAAACTATCATCCCCTTGTGCTGGTTGGCTCATCTTCATACATGTATCTAAGTATGATTAACTAATGATCACCCTTTGATTTAAGAATTCATTTACAGGATGTGAACATTACTGGCTAGGCCGACATTTATTGCCCATCCCTAATTGCCCAGAGGGTAGTTAACTGTCAACCGCATTGCTGTGGGTCTGGAGTCACATTTAGGCCAGATCAGGTAATGATAGGAGTTTCCTTAGGACCCGAAAAATTTTCTGAATGGCATTACTGAGTCAGATGGATTTTCCAATAATTAACAATGGTTTCACAGTCGTCATTAGACTCTTAATTCCAGATTGTTATTGAATTTAGTCTCTACCACAATGTGGGATTTGAATCTGGGTGCCCAGAACATTACATGGGTCTCTGGACTATAATTTGAGTAATAATATCATGAGGCCATTACCTCCCCATGCCACGCTGCCATCTATCAACATTGGCAATGTGACACCAATGGCTGTTGCTTGCTTCACATATATAGGTTCCACAATCACCAGCAGTCTATCACAATGTTGAAGTCAATGCACGAAATCACAAAAACTACCTCTGTTATGTTCAAACTGCACGAGAATGTGTGAAAAAAAACCCAGCGAACTGACAATACCAAATTGCAAGACTACCAAGTTTGTGTCCACAGCATATCCTCTACAGTGACCCCCTGCACAAAATATGCTAGGCAGCAGAAAAGGATGGACAGTTTCCACTTTTGCTGTCTTAGACATATCCTTGGCATCTCCTGGCAGGACCGGGTCACCAACCTAGATGTCATAAGATGTTTTAATTCCATTAGCATATACTCAATGCTAAGCAAACAATGTCTGCACTTGGCCACATTCACTGGATGGATGACTCTGTAAGCGCAAAGAAAGTTTTGGATAGTGAATTGGCCACTGGGTCCCAATCTACTGAAAATCCTCACTTCTGCTAGAGGGACTCTTGCAATTGAGATAAGATGGTGACATTGACATTGGCAATTGGGAGACAGTCGCTGTTGGCCATGACCTCTGCAGGCTGACTGATTAAAAGGGCATTGGAAAACTTGATCAGAATGAAAAGTCTCAACTTGTTCAGGTGAGGGCCGAGAGAAAACAGAAGCAAGTGAATCATGCACCTTCTCAGCCCACTGTCTTCCTCTGTAGCAAATACAGCACAGACTACCTTGCCAGCACTGAGGTCCAGAGCTACAACATGCAATGCTTAACAGAGTTGAGCACTTGGTGCAAACCATGATCTTACAAGGCAAAAGATTTTAGTGTCGAGAATTAGTGAGAGAAAAAGGAGCCCATGAAAAAGGGTTTCGCTGTTGAAGCTTCGTCTTTCTCAAAAGAAAACTCTTGTTGAGTTCAGGGTGAAATGTACTTGCTCTGAAAGTATGATTGAAGGAACATTTCAACATTTTATTTCTTGAGCAAGCTGTGACTGCTAAGACTTCTAGAGATGACCACACATGATTAGTGGCGTGACCATAAATGCCAGGACAGCAAAATGACAGACTGTGTGCACAAAAAGTAAGGCTGCCCTCCATTTAAATGGCCTGTCGAACAGGATAGCCATGGCAATCAATATCAGAAGTCAAGTGCTGAGTGCCTGGATGTAGTGCCCCAAATTGACCTCATGCAAACTGGTGACTACATCCTGAAACTATCGTGTTCCCCAACTGTATCAGTAATTCTGACACTTCTCTATGCACCATAATCATATATATCACCTACCAGTTCTCATGAGGGTAATTACCGAACATTTATGGTTGCACTTCACATTCATATACTTAGCTTTGTGCTAGCTAAATTGCTCACATCTCAATTGCTCAACGACACCAGCCACAATACCAAAAAAGACTGCACACATTGACAAATGTTGCTCTCCTGCTTGATAAGGTGGCACATCTACATGTTCCCACCTTCTGAGAGGAGGTACTGCTTGTCACTGATGAGGACTTGACTTAGTGAGTAGCAATCTTGCCTTTGAGACAGAACGTTGTGGATTCCAATCCTATTTCCCTAACTTGAAGGCAAAAACACAGGCTGATAACCCAAGGAGTGCTGAATTGTTAGTGATGCTATCTTCTGGATACATATCTTTCAGATGAATGTTAAATGAAGACCCTATATGCTCTTTCAGTTGAATGTAAAAGATCCCATAATGCTATTTTGAAGAGGAGAAGGGGTGAAACCTCCAATGTTCATCAACATTACAGAAAGCAGGTTATCTGATCAGTATTACATTGCTGCTCCGAATGCTTGCTGTGTGCAGGTGAGCTGCAGTGTTGCCCACATTAGAACTTTGACTATACTTGAAAAGTTTGTTGTTGGCTATAAAGTGTTCGGGATATGAGGCACTACAAATGCAGGTAATTCCTTTTTCTGGGAGGGCCGCTTTTGAAGGAGGCTGCAATGTTCATTACTTGGTTGTAAAGAAGTTTCTCTCAGGTCTTGAAGTTGGTATTCCAGCTCCAAAATCTCAGCATGTACTCGTACTGTTTCATTTGACCACTATAGGAGCACATCTCTGCCTCGAGCTCTCTTTAGAAGATACATTATGGTGAGTGAGTGTCAGGCATTCTGGCTACATGACAAGCTCAACTAAGTTGTGACAGCTTTAATAAGGTAAGGTAGCAAGTATCTCACCTCCTGATTTTACAAATCTTGCCCACCATCTACATGATGGGTCAGGAGTGTGATGGAATACTCTCCGCTTGCCTAGATGGCAGCATCTGCATCAACCCCCAACCAACTCAACCCCATCCAGGACAAAGCAGCCTACTTGATTGGCATTCCATCTACGAACTTCAACAGTCATTTCACTCACCACTAATGCACATTGGCAGCAGTGTGTACTGTTTGTTAGATGTACTGCAATTCCTTTGACTGGAGACCACAAACGTTATGACCCTTGACAACATTCCAGCAAAAGTATTGAAGACTAATGCTCCAGAAAGAGCTGGCCCCCTAATCAAGCTATTCTGGTACAGCTACAACACTGGCATCTACCCAGCAAAGTGAAAAATTCCCCATGTATGTTTTACCATTGCTATCCTAATACTCTACTCTTGGTCATCAACAAAAAAATGATGGATGGTGCCATTGTAATTAAGCAACACTTATCCACGAATAACCTGCTCGCTGATGCTCAGCTTGGGTTCCATCAGGCTCACTCAGCCCCTGATCTTATTATGGCCTTGGCTCAAACATACATAATAAATAAACTACAGGAAGTGAAGGGAGACTACCCTTGATGTCAAGTCAGCATTGGACTGAAGAGAGTATCAAGGAGTCCAAGCAAAACTGGAGTCAATAGGAATCGGGGGAAACTCCCCTGTTTACAGTCACATTTAGCAGAAAGGAAAAAGCTATGGCGATTGGAGGTCAGTTATCTCAGTCTGGCTCTGCAGGAGTTCCTCAGGGTCATGTCCTCGGCCAAACCATGTTTAGTTTCTCCATCAATGATTTTCCTTGTATCATATGGTCAAAACTAGGGACATTCATTGAAAATTACTTAACATTCAACACCGTATGTAATTCCTCAGATACTGAAGAAGTTGGTGTGCATTTGCAGCAAGAACTGGACAACATTCAAGGTGCTAAGTGGCAAGTAATATTTGCTTCACACAACTGCCAGACCCTTTCCAACAAGATAGAATCTAGCCATATCCCCTTGCCATTCAATGACATTCGCATCACTGGAACCCCACTATCAACATCCTGGGGATTATCCCTGACAAGAACCTGAAATGTCTGTTTGGCTGGACCATTGTGGTGCAAAAGCAGGTCAGAGACGAGGAACTCCGAGGCAAGTAACTCACGTCCTGTCTCCTCAAATCCTTTCCACCATCTACCAAGTGTTAGATCAGGAGTGTGATGGAATACTCTCTCCTTGTTTAGATAAGTAAAGCTCCAACAACTTTCAAAAGGTATGAACAGGACAAAGTAGCCTGCTCGACTGGCACCCCAATGTAACACCTTCAACACTGACTCCTTCCACCACTGAAGCACTGTGACAGCAGTGTGCACCATCTCTTCAGAATAATGTGGTTAAGATCAGAAACATAAAACTGCATTTCATCCTTCTCTTACATGGCACTGAAACTCCTATCTGGTACACCAGGAATTTCTTGCTCTTTATAATTGTTGCTGTGAATGTACAATATAAAAATTCAATGGCCAAGACAATAAAAAATTAACAAGAATGATGAAACAAATAATATTTTTGTGTGTAGACATTATAAGCATTGAAATAAAAAAATTGAGTTATTATGATTCTAAGCGTAGATAACAATATCACAGGAATGAATCAGCTGTAGCATAGACAAGCAAATCAGACACACCGAATTCCTTTTCTGTTTCATGGTAGTCTGCACCTTACCTTTAATAGCTGCAACTTTTCTGCTCACGAGTGGATGTGAAGCAATTCGTGCTACTGCTCGCTCAGTAACTGTGGAATTTGGCTGCTCAACCAAACAAACAAAAAAAAAAATTAATACGTCAATGAACAACCATTGAAAGTTATGAATTGCTCCAATGCAAACAGTTAACCGTCTCCTTCAAAATAATTGGTCTCAAAATATTTAGCCCCCTGATCTCTTGATAACAATCAGCCCACCATTTCCCCTTCCACCTTCTGTACAATGGAGAAACCACGTAAACAGAGTCCTTGCTAGCGCAGGTTATTGTCTGTAATATGGGTCAGTTTCCAAGAGAAGACTGAATATATAGTAATGGTGCATTTGAGATCTTTCTGCAACCTGTTAGCAGTCCCAATGCCTTAAGCAGTGCTGTAGCACAGTCTTGTCAGTAGGATTTTAGTAAAAAGAATATGTTAATTTTTTGTGATATGCCACTGTCTTTATGAAAACATACATCAGCATAAAAATAAAATTTTAGACACTCAATGTTGTATTGTTCCATGGGAGCGTAGTTTTGGACTATATAACACCCCCAAGTTACAGCATCTATACTTGAAGCCCTCACTTGAGATGGCAGAAATTTGCAATGAAATAAAGTATTACACAATGTTGCAATTTTTCCTTAAAAAATAGTACACTGGTGTCAACATTATTACTATGAAACAAATAATTCTAGTGGCAACACTTTTTGACTACCTGGTTTAATTTATAGGCCAGCTTAGAAAATTGTACATTTTGATCACAGAGTGTTGCAAGAAAGAATCTCAGTAACTATATGTGGAGGCTGGGTCATTAAGTTTATTCACCATTGAACTAGATTGACAGGACAGACAGGAAAATGGAGTTGAGACCACAAACAGATTAACCATGACCTTACTGAATGGTGAGCATGCTTGAAGGGCTGAATGATCTGCTCCTAAATCTGATGTTTCTACATACTATATTTGCTAGGACCATCCCTTTCTGAGAATCACGAGGCAGAATGTGAAATGTCTGCATGATAATACTCCTGGAACAATAGTTTATAGATAAAAAACATCAGCCTTGGCTCATAGATAGAAATCTTGCCTGAGCAGAAGTGAGGGGGTGTAAGTTCTGCTTCAGAGATTCAGCCAACATTCCAGTGCAGTACTGAGCGAGTGCCACAATGTCAGAGATATTGTCTTTCAGATGTAATGTCAAACACAAGCCTCAATTACTTTTCCAAGGGAACATAAAAATGTTGTGGCACCATTCTGTAATCTCTCTAGTCCAGAAGTCCAAAATCTGGAACCACCAGTTGTCTGTAATGATTTTTTTCCACCATGATGTGAGTGGAGGGCTTGCAGAGTATTGACCTTGTGATGCTAAAGGACAGTCTGTAGCAGAGACACACACACCTAACTTCTTCAAGAGGCAACAAGGTGCAGGGCTGGATGAACACAGAAGGCCAAGCAGCATCATAGGAGCAGGTTACCTAATTGAAATGTATTACTTTTTAATACAGGAAGTTGTACAATATCTTATGATTATAATGAATAAAGTTCACTTTGTACGGTATATGATTTCTGCATGAGTATATAGTTTATAAATGCTTGTACTTTATTAACCTAAGGCAAGACATATAATCAACTTGAACTGTAGTCAGATTTTATCTTTTTTCCGTCCCCAGTGCTGAAAAGAACTCTTATTGGATATAGACTAGAAACAATTGAAGGGCAATCTACGTAAGAAGCCATATGATGGCTGAATGAAATTATCCACATTATGTACATATATCAAGTTGCAATATTTAACATCCTGCGCAATAATTAATTCAGGCCTTGCTGTTGAAGCAGTGCCACTAATAATTTTTGAAAAATCATCTGGCAGCTTTTTTTTTTGTTTCTTTTGTTAGTACTTGCATAATAGTGATAACATTTCAAAACTAAATAATCGGGCATAAAACACATTGGGACATACTGAGCATGTGATGATGTTAAATCAATGAAAGTTATTTTCCTGTTCAAGTTATTGAAGCTTGACTAGCAGTATACTGCTGTAAACTGTCTCCCTAAAAGCACTGAGGTTTTTCTACATCAACTGGGCTGTACAGAGTCAAGAAAACAACTTATCACTAACTTTAAGGGCAACCAGAATGGGCAATAAATGCTGGCCCATCCAATGACATCCATATTGCATGAATGGAAAACAATCACATTGGCCATTAGTTAGTATGGAGGTTAGCAGTTCATTTGTTGTTTGAACCTAGCACTGTCATTCTTTGCCTAGATTTCTAGTTGAAACACATGCTTTTGAACTTTTGAAGTCTTGACCTGAGGACCAGGATCTCCACTTGGATATCTCCTCTGCTGACTCTACCACTTGCAATTTCTCTTCCAGACAAAAATGGAGTCTCTGAAAGTGATATATTCCAAATGGTGTTGTGGCGTAGTGGTTTCTTGACATTCCTTTGCCAAGTGAACTGACCAATCTCTGCATTTCGCATCCAGCTTGGAGAAGAATTTATCTGCTGTGAATTTGGAATTTAAATCCTCCAGTATTAGGATTTTGTGTGTGTGTATCTCTTTAGAAAAGTATTTAGACACCTTGAATCCAGACAAATGCTGAATTTGCCATCTTACTTCACGACACACGTAATTGAACTGCCCAGTCTGTGTGCCAATGTACCCAATGGATAGCACCATCATATGCTACATATTTCAGCTCTTTTGTCTGTTTCCCTGTAGATGGGCACTATACTTTCTGGAATGGTCAGCTGACAGAATTGCATGTTTTCTGAGATGCAACACAGCATCATCTTTGAAGTTTCTTATGGGTTGAATCTGTCTGGGTACAATTGTTGTTAAGTTCTGGACTAACTCAATGCAAGTATTCTTAGCCTCTTCTGCTGCAATTGCTATCTTGGTGATCTGATGCAAACATACAACTTAGGAGCAAGAGTGAGCCACTCAAACCTATTCAGCAAGTTCATGACTGATGTGTTTACTCCACATTGCTAGCTACTCACAATAACCTATCACCCTCTTGCATGTCAAGAATCTAGAGGTCAAGGTTTTGGAAGGTGATGTGAAAGAGACTTGATGAGTTGCTGCAGAGACTATACTGTACACATTGCTGATACTGAGACTGTGAATATGATTGGCAACAATGTTAAAATCTATAAACGCCAGTTAATATGCTATTTCTGGTCCACTTATACTCAACATACAGAATACTTGAGGTTTCCATGCAGAACTGCCATAGCTGCATTTCATTGTCAATATAACAGCACAAGCTACAGATGTCCCATTAAAAGCAGTTAATTTTGCTGTTGTCGATTCTATCATAATTACTACAGGACAGGTATATCTCCAACAGAAGTCTGACTGATAGCTCTCACATTGACCTTGGACTCCAGCATGTGTTTGTGAATTTTCTTCAGACATATGATGTCAATACTTCTGTTTAACTTCATTCACACAATGTGTCATCACCACAACGTGGAAAGCCAGTTCCTTTCGCGATTTAAGGTTGGTCCACTCAGAATCTTCACCCTGGCCAGTCTTTCAGCTAATCATTATGTGTTTACATTTCTGTGTGCTCTGGCACGCCCCCTGCTGTTGCTGCCAGCACGCCGTCCATGATTTGTGTTTGACTGCAATTTATTGTAGGCCCTGGTCATAGCTTAGGAACCAAACTCCTTACATAAGCAATCACAGTGTCCTTTTGCACTGGACACTTGTAAAGTTCCTGAAATGCAAGACAGATCTGCTTTGAGTGCGACAGATTGCACTACCCACACAGCTTGCTTGATTTCTGCCTTCTGGCAACTGCACCATGACAGGCAACCTGTGTTCCTTCTAAGCTGTGCTGCTATGAGCACCTGTGATCAGCAGTGCTGATACTGTTCACAGCATTGACTTCTGGTTTCACTAGTCACTGGCATGCATGACGCTCAGGAATCTGTGCAGGCAAAATTAAAACTAATGGGAATGTTGCTGGTAAGTACACCTGATGTCTGCAGACATTGTTGTTCAACTACAATGGTTTCACATCTTCTGCCATTTTAAGAAGTGTGTCAATATTGTGAATTTTCTTTTCCTTCCAGCGGTTTCTTTGAAAAATTAGGACAGATTTTGAAGCTATAACCAGCATCATTATCTGCTCAGACAACTCAGCCTCTGAAAAATCACAGTGCTTGCCTTTGTAATGGCATCTCTTAACAAAATTTATCAATTAAGTCTTGTGGGTGCTGCCTCTATGACTGGGTCTAGATGGTGAATTCTGTAGTTTTACATTAAGTTGGCATTCCAGTATTTCCCACAGTTTAGCAGGGTTTATCTGGATCTCTTCAGAAAAGCTGAAGTGTTGTTTTTGAACAATTCCTCATTTCCAATGGCTATCTTTATTTTCATTGCTTGTTTACCTGGAGTTGAAACTGCTAAATCTAAAAAGCATAGTTTCATGCCTAATTTGAACAGCCTAAATTCAGATAGAAGGTCTGTGGCTTTCCAATTCATGTCAGGGAATTTGGTAGTCATCTCTCTGATGTTCCCTACCTTTTGCAAATGCTATCAATGTCTCGGGGATTTATAGTAGGCTTCCTACCATAAGATTGGTCTATGTGGAGATTCAGCAATCCATTTGTTGGCTTTCTTTTGCTACGTTTAAAAATTCTGCCCTGCGCAACTTCAATCTGCTGGAACCAAGTCTCTGCCTGAACAGGTTCACAAATCACATATCTACTATTCTTGTAGTGATTATTTTTTTCTTAAAGAGTCCCAGTATAAATGTTAACTTCTGCACTGTTTTAAGTCTTGTCTGAGGCATTTGCCTGTTCTTTTACCATTTTTTGAAGAATAATTCTCTAGGCTGATCACTACATTGCATTTCTTGTGTTATTGGTAATTAACACAAATTAAGTAGCATGGATAACAAGGTGTAGAGCTGGATGAACACAGCAGGCCAAGCAGCATCAGAGGAGCAGGAAGGCTGACGTTTCGGGCCTAGACCCTTCTTCAGAAATGGG